GACCCCCATTCCCTTGGTAGAGCAACCCAGCCCAGCTCCCCCCTCATCTGCCTGTAGCCAAGTGTAAGGCCTCTGGAAGGGGTATGAAGCCCCTGCCCCTTTTGCAGCCCCCCGGGAGGATGGGGGGCGCCAGGAGGGCTGTGTTGCCAGCGGCTTCCCCCCAGCCCAGCTGGGGCCTCCCCGCTGCAGCCGGCAAACAAAGCTGCCTTTTACTGCGGCGCCCGCGCGGGGAAGGTATTTCCACCCAAACCTTTTTCCATGACCGAATTAGCTCGGGTTTTTTTTTCCCCCTCTCTCCTTTATGGGCAGCAAGCCGGGGCCTGTCGGCAGACAGCGGGGCAGGAGCGTCTGAGCCGCGGGCCCCCCGGCACCCCCCTCCACCAGGCATGTCAGCACCGACATCTGGCACTGGGACGGGGAAGGGGGCCGGGGGGCTGGGAGGGGCGGCGCGGCGGCAGGGGGCAGAGTCAGGGGGCTGAGGCCTTGGCACTAGCAGGCTGGCGTGCAGCTCCTCGTGCGACAGTGCCCCTGGGAGCAAGAGGGTGGTGCCCCCAGCCGCTGCCTGCCTGCCTCTTGGAGGGCTGACTCATGCCTGCTGCCCCGGGCGCTGGGCCGGGCCAGGCGCTGAGTCACCAGCCAGCGGCTGTGGCCCTCTGCCCTGCCACCTTCCTGTTCCACCCTCCCCCCCCAAGCTGAGAATAGAGCCAAGAAGTCCCGGCTACCAACCCCCCGAACCCCTCTGCCCTGCCCAGGTCTGCAGGGGACCCAGGAGTCCTGCTGCTCTGCCCATCCCTGCACATCCACCCAGCTGGGGCTGCAGCCCACGGGCATTGTGGCCGAAGCTAGGCCCTGGCGAGGTGGGGCGTGGTGGGGCGGCGGCGTGGGAACCCCGTGGAGGCTCCTGGCGTGGGCGGCAGGGCAAGTTGTGTCCCTGCCATTCCCTCCTGGGAGCTCCAACTCCGCCCTCTGCCAATGAAGCGGGCAGGGGAAACTGAGGCACAAGGTGTGGGAAGTGTCTGGTGGCAGGGAGAGAACCCAGGTGCCCGCCTGTCCCGCCGTCTAGCCGCTCTTACAGGCCGGAGGGGAAGGGGCAGGGAAGGGCCGTGCTGGGGGGCAGCCAGGAGGGGCGGCAGAGCCGGGACCCAGCCATGTGTGGCACCCCCTGCTCTGGCCCTGGCACCCAATGGAAACGCAATCCAGGAACCCTGGCAGCCCCCCAGAGGCGCCACAGCCCAGGGCTGTCCCACACCCCCACACTCTCCATGGGACCTGCTGCCTTCTGGGAAACTCCCCCTTGGCAGTGCTGGGGCTAGGACATGCAGCTGGGGGCCCCAACCACAGGCAGCAGGGGGTGGTAGCGAGCAGCTCCACGGGGCCCCCTGCAGGTCCCTCTATGCAGGCACGCCTCTGCCTACTCCGCTCCACCCCAGAGCTGGCTGCATGCAGGTGCCGGGCCCAGCAGGGAGCTCCCCACCTGGGGTGTGAGAGGCCACATGGCCCCACAGGGAAACTGAGGCACAGGGCTGCACCAGGCCTCAGGGCCTGAACCCAGCTGTTCTGAGCCTCCGTCCGTGACCAAGAACCCAGAAGTCCCAGATGCCCGGCGTGCCCCCCTCAGACCCCAACCCACCAGCAAACCAGAGCCCCCCGGAGACGGGAACGCAAGGCTGGAGTCAGGCTTCACCGCTCTAACCACCAAGCCACACTGCCGCCCCGCACACCCCCGAAGGATCCAGGGCATCGCCAGCCCCTGGATTCCCCATCCCAGGGAAGTGCTTCCCATCCCAGGCACACAAAGGACTGAGCGGGGATGTGGCTACCAGGCAGGCCACTGGTGGGGGGCTGCACCCCAGCCTCCCACACCCCAGGCCTGCCTGACTCCCCCACCCTACCCTAGCTCCCGGGTGTCTTTTTGAATGGGGGAGCTGCCGGCTGGACCCCCTGGACCCCTTCAGGGCCCTGTCGCCCAGGGCCCTCTCTGGCTGCAGCTGCGGTGGGGAAACTGAGGCATGGCATGTTGCAACCCAGCTGTCAAGAGGACCCAGGAGTCTGGGGTCCCCCATGTAACCGCTCAGAGTACGGAGGGAACCCAGGTATCCGGGTGTCCAAGCTGGCAGGAGCTGGGTGTCTAAATCCCCAAGGGAGCCTGAGATGCCCTCAACCCCTGAGCCAGCCACCCCCCCACTCCCCAGGCCTTCTCCCTGCCTGCCGACCTGTGGTG